CCCCCCCCCCCGGCCCCTCTCGGTCGCTCGTCGGCCTCGCCTCGGGTCGTCGTCAGGCTCGCGCTCCGTCCGGTCGGCGGGCTTCGTCGGTCGTGGTCCGCTCTCGGTCGGTCCGTCGGTCGGTGGTTCCGTCGTCGGTCTCCGTGGTCGTCCGTCGTCGTCGCGTCGTCGTCGTCGGTCGGTCGTCGGTCGGTCCCGTCGCGTCCGTCGGTCGGTCCTCGTGGTCGTCGTGCGTCGGTCGTCGTCGGTCGGCTCCGCGTCGTCACTGTACGTATGTCTCTCCATCGGTATGTCCTGTAACATCTGTACGTTCAGCTCTTCATCAACCTGTACGTGCGACTTGTCCATGTGTGCTATTCCGCCTCTCCGACAGCACTGTCGCCCGTCGCGCGTCCGCCCGTCGCCGTCCGCCCGATTCCGCCGCGTCGCGCCCGTCGCCGTTCCGCCCGACGGGCCCCGCGGGGGTTCTCCCGGCCGGACCGTGCCTCGCCCGTCGAATCCGCCCGTTCCGACGCCGGTCTTCGTCGCCACCCCCGTGCCCAGCGGCCCCGTTCCAGCCCTCCCGTCCGCCCCTCCCGTCGCCCCGTCGTCACCCGTCCGCCCGTCGATGGACGTAGCTGTATGTCTCGTCGCCCCTGTGCCTTATTCTACCGCTACATTCTTTTTCGTTCAATCCATCAGCGACTCCGTCGTGAGGCGTCAATCTGCTGAGTCTCACTTTTGTACTGCCAGCCCATCGGGCTCGTCTGCTTGTCTTCCGCTGGTCCCGCGCCCCAATCCGTTGGTCTATTCGTGAATTTGCCAATGTCGTCCTGAATGTTCCTGCGCGTCTATTGCGATCTCCTTGCTGCCCCACCTCGGGCGCTACTCCGGCTTAAACCGACGCCATAGCTCCCCGACCGGATTCTGCAGACCCGACGGGGTGCGCGGGGGCCACACGGACATCTTGTAATCCTCCCCGAGATCATGAAGGACCGAACCATCACCCACTTCCCTCGCGTATTACAATCCCCACGCTATCCTTGGCGCAATAGTGGTTATGCTTGTCTAACTAGTAACGTTCGCGTTGCGTCTGTAAACCCCACGCCCTGCAGAACATTTTGTGGGTTACGAACATACGGGACGAAGGCGTGTCTTTGCTGTCAATGAAGCGTCCCTCAACTGAATTTATTGAATCTCACGCCGCACAACAAACACTAGAATGTTTCGGTAAGGCACTGAATCACAAGAAACAAACAATTTTGTCAGGAACGAACCCAATCACATCTTACTTGTGGACTAAGATCAGTGATTTAAACAGTTAATCAAATATATACTTACTTATCGTTTAGATATTAAGGAACATATATCCTTTATAATTGAATACATTTATATAACGTTTTCTGTATATTATTGATATTTGTTTGACTAACTGCCAGCTCTAATACAATCAACTGAGTAATTTGAAATTATTAAATCGTGAAGATATAGGACTTTAAGGGTGGAATTGTTTTCAATTAAATCACGAATATCATAATTTAATACTTTGTATACATCTTTGTGCACTTTATCACAGTTATTATACGAACTATATGGACTTTTTTTCTCATGATTGGTCATAGCCTGCCTAACTTGTCTATAGAATATGTCTTCTGAATGATGTGTACTAATAGCGTACTTTTTCATGCCATTAATTATTTGCACTCTGAAAAAGAAATCTTTCCTTCGATAGGTCTATTTGTAGAACGTGCACCAAATTAGTGATGTATCCAAAGCCATTCCCAGTGACGGAAGAGAGAAAAGGATTTCAGTGTACTGTGTCATCAATAAATTATTTATTGTTCTACTAACCACGACGTTAATTGGAAGAACGACAGTATTGCAAATGATGATAGTGCTCATCTTTTACGTTGATCTCGCGCTTATGAAGCAAGAAGAAAATATATTTGTCGCGTGGAAACTGTGAATTAGTCTGCAAGAAAATACCTTTATTTAGGCTGCCCTACTTATTGCCTGAACTCACATTGTAAAGACATTAAAACATTGTCTAATTTCAATAATATACGAATTATTATTCATAATCCTGCTACCACGTTGATGTATTTTAAACATTCAACGTGAATTCATGATAATCTCACTAATTATATATTCAAAAAACATTTAGCGTGTCATTACTGGCGTAGACTTAGAATCTTTAGTAACAATATCTGCGTACTGTGTACAATTGAACGACCACGCTGCAAGAGGCGACGTTGTTCGTGCTGAGGTATACCCACTACATTTCATTCAGCTAGCTATCATCTGAGCCAAGATTATAATCAATTTTCTCGTAAAAATAAATAATTAATCTTAAGAAATCTAGTTAGATATTGAATAATATCATTTTAAAACTACGTCATCCGCCTTAACATACTCGTCTCTAGGTCACAATGTAGAAAGTTAAAAAATATTGATATAGCCGTGCAAAACGATACAGTGATTATCATCCCTTATAGCTACACCAATAAACTCATTTATCCATTTAAATAAGTGGAAAATATTTCTCACAGTCGGATTCATAAGGGATAGCATCTCAGCAATTCAGTCTACGTCGCCGCCCGCCTTCCAGTGTGCATAGCAAGCCTGCTACCTTCCAGCCCCACCAAGCCTCCACTAGGCGCGCCGATACCTGCCTTCAGCTATTAATGTGGCGAAAGTTGCCTGCAGCGCCCATAATGTGCACACTTCAGGTCGTCTCTAACCAGGACACTTGCGACCGGTTCACATGCTTGCGCCCAGCTGCACAGCATAAGCGGAATGTGGAGCGAGCGCGCCAAAACGACGCAGGGTTAGAGCCCAAGCTATCACCCGTCGGGCGGTCGGGCGGTCGGGCGGTCGGGCGGTCCGTCCGTCCACTGTACGTATGTCTCTCCATCCGTATGTCTGTATATCTGTACGTTCACCTCTTCATCAACCTGTACGTGCCATTGTCCATGTGTGCTTCCGCCTCTCCGACAGCCCGTCCGCCCGCCTTCAGATGGACGTAGCTGTATGTTCGTCCGTCTATTCTCCGTCATTTTTTCCGTTCATCACTACGTCCGTCTGTGAGTCCGTCAATCTGCTCAGTCTATTTTTGTCCTGCCGGCCATGGCTCCGTTCGCTTGTCGCTCCGTCGGTCTCCCAATCCGTCTGTCTATTCGTGAATGCATTTTCGTCTGAATGTCTGCGCGTTCTTTGGATCTCCTTGCTGCACCCACCTCGGC